CCCCCCCCCCCCGTCTCTGTATGTGTTATGACACCACCCCCTTGTGTTCATGTTTGGTACCAAGCATTACAACAGCCAAGAGGAGGGTCAGAGGGTGGAGCTCCACCTTGCTGTGCTCTGCTCACAGGCACAGGTACATTTTTTTAAAAGCTGTAAGCTAAAGCCAGCAAAGCAAGTAGAGGCTGTTAGTGTTAGGGACGTTGTCAGTGGTTGAAGTGACATGCAGAGCCAAGACAATGGGCGGCACAATCAAGCAGCCAGATGTTGCTCTTAACTAAATGCAAGTCAGATTTTAAGGGCCTAACTAACAATGGGGAGTTTTGTGGCTGATCTGTTTCTGCTCCTGCTAATTTCCACAGGACAAGTTTATGGAGGTAAGTTAAGGCACTAACTAATTGACAAAGGAGATAATGGTAATGCTGTAAATGCAGAATAGTTGTTTTTACAACCTTTGATTAAGTTAAAATGTGCCTGTGACAGTTGGCAGCTTAATGTTTAATCCAGTCTAATATTGCCTGTAGACATATGGCAATATACTGCTGGGTACTGGATTATATTTTGGTTGTTGTTACTTATGGGGGGACATGGGTACATGATATGGTGTCACACTGCTCACCGAATGCCCTCCTAGACAGTTGAAAGCTTATAATATAGTTTTTATTATTATCAAGTTGCTCATTGCTTTTCCTAAAAAAAGCAAAATTAGTATTAATTTGAGTATAAAAAGGAATATTTTATCAGTGTTTATGAATCCACACACATCATAGTTCAGTTAATACTGTGGACATCTCAAGCAACACTTCCGATCAAATCTGAATGATTGCCAATGAAATATCAACATTACCTATACATGTGCAGAAATAACAGCAAATCAGCATTTCCTAAGTCAGTTGTACATATCTCTATCCTCTCTAACCTGTTCATGACAGTGCATTAAAGACCTGCATTTACGTTCGAGCTGTGTCTGTGACTGTAGGAAGATTACTAATAATCCAATGTTCACTGGTATCATAGAGGCAGATTAGAGATAGATGGACAGACATGGGTTATACTGACAGTGGGCTTATAAGCTTTATGTAGAGCGGCATGCTGGGCCGGCTTGCTGACTGAGTACTTCTCACTGGGACCAGTCTTATAACGATAGCCTTGATAATAAACTTACATAGTTTTTGCAGTCAATGCATTTATATGGATAATATAAAAGCAATACAATAATAAGTCATTAAAACAACTAAGACGAATGTAGGCATGAAATTAAAACAAAAGGAGGATGAACATTTGGAATTGTAAAAAATGGATGTAAAAGATGAGTGTTTTTTTTCTTTTTTTTACGCTTTTAAAAGCAAATTTGTACTTTGTACAACCATGTTAAATACACAAAAGTATCCTAACTTTAGCCCAAAATGTTGAACACTATGTTGTGATTAGAAGTCTAGCTTGAGTTGCTGATTTTTTTCTGTGTGATGTGGGAACATAAATTATTGGCTGTCAAGTAATTACACTGTAGAATCTGTGAGCTCTACACGGCAGCTAGTTAGTAATTTATTCATAAAATGTTTTGGCTTCGGTTTTTCTCTCATAATCATAATTTGCTCTTTTTATTGAGACGATGGAAATAGTCTGTTGTACGAAATAGTTTCTCTGTTTCTTGGATCTTGTTTTTAATTTGAATAATTTGAATGCTACTTTAATTTCTGTCTTGTGTTCAGTATCACTGCCATCCCCAACCACACGCCAACTCCTGACCTTTATTTGCTGTGTGTCATCGTTTCCACAAATTGATATTTTTTTTTTGAAGTCATTTTTGAAAGAGTGCTCCCATACAGCTAATAAATCAAATCAATCAAATTGATTAAATCAAGACTACTTTACTGTTTTTTTTTCATTCAAAGATGGGAGTGGTGGGTATACTGGCATCACTGCTAAATACAAGTACATCGTAATTCCACAATTATGAAACCCTAGAAAGCAAAGGTGTATTTCAGATGTGCCTCATTTGTTCGAGGCTATAGAAAAAAATGTGTCAAATGAAAAAATCACAGAGCCGCTAACATGGTTGTAGATCTTGTTTTAACGTTCAAACTAGCAATATAACTGTATAGTTCATATCTGGGATGAGTACAATGTAATGGTCATGAATGAATTCAAATAGCTGGCATACACATTTTTATTTACATTCAGACCATGGGTTCGCAATTCGAGTTGGCTTCATGTTTTGTGAAAAAACAATGCCCCCAAATTTTTACACCAACTAATGATGTCATTTGCTCTTTAAGAGCAGCCCTGCCACTGAGAAATGTCTGTTCAACTAAATGCCCAATCTATGTCATTTGGGTCATCGGTGAAGTATAATTAGCATCAGAACATTTCAGGATGACCCACTCCAGAATGCATTAGTTGTCATTAATTGAATTCAGATAGCAGGTGTAAAGTGCAGAGTAGACGCCACATCGACAAGCCAGTCAATACAGATTAATGGAATAGCCTTTGCAGGGAGAAGGCCTTTGGTCACGAAATGTTAGCAGATATTTTTGTAGACAGATTTAACTGATTATGTAATTAAAATAGAAAAATAAAGTATGCCAGCATGGGACAAACCTCCAGCTTGCCATTTTATGAATTCCCCTCACAATAATTTCTGAGAAAGCTGGGAATGAAACCTTTATCTGATATGCTTCTGACTAGACTGCAAGCCAAAACAGTACAATAACACCTTGTAATATAATGTAAAGTAGAACACAAACTACAGCCTCAAATATTACTATCGAGTTTAATTACTACCTTTCTACCAAAGTCTTAACAATGATATTATGGCCACCCTACTGTGTGTAGCATATTAACACAACCAGAACTGGTGAAAACCAGTTCATCTGCTATTAGTATTGATTAATCAAAACTGATCAACCCCCCACAATTACATTCTGGGTCAGTAAAAACTTTCCATGCACCTTTATGGAATTCTGTCCCCTTTTTTCATTGTTGTAGTGTCTTTCTACGGTGATGGCTACATCCACCTACGAACAGTGGAGGCGTCCATTCAGACAGTGCTCCATGTACGTTTTCGAACCTCCAGTCAGTCGGGGCTGCTGTTTTTGGCAGCTGGACGCAGAGATTACTTGCTGCTGGAACTGATCTCTGGGCGCCTGCAGGTAGGCTAAAACACTTATGGTGTAGTACAGTAGTAGATAGTAGCAAACTTTTCAAAAGCAACTGGCAGAAATCTTTTAATGGGTGATAAACACCAAGCAAAGCAAATGTGTTAATTTGTCATTTTAGCTTTTAAGAATATGTGCACAAATAAGTTGAACTAAAACCTGTCCAGAGGCTCTCACATAAAGTTGCCTCACTTCTCACTCACCTTCAAAAAAAGATAAAATATTTGTCCCTTGGGTCATTTTAGCTTGGCATTTACTATCCTGAGGAGAGCCAGAGAGAAGACTGAACACACTCAACTTGGTGTCAGATTGCTTGCAGAGAGAAAAAAAAGAACCCCCTGGCACTCGCTTCATTTCAGAACAAGTTCCTTCATGACCCAGGTTAAGAGAGAGGACCACAATAGTTTAATGAAAAGTACGTGGCAAAGGAGCTGCTCATGAAAGAGTTTGGTTGCATTTGTGTTTGTGGAATAATCCTTTAATATACAGTTAACAACTCCCTTAATTCCACTTTTGTCCACTTGTACCTACCACGTGTTTTGCTTTTCTTGCAACTCTTTGTCTTACTAATTGAAGTTTGTGTTTTGGCATAAAAACATATATTAGAAAGACTTTCATCTTGTGTTCTTGCTTATCACCTTTTATCCCTCTTCCCCCTAACTCTGTCCCTCCTCGCCTTCCCTACATCACTCAGGTACGTCTGGACTTGGGCTCAGGTGAGCGCTCACTACGCTCAGAAAAGGGCATCCATCTTAGTGACCTAGCATGGCACTCCATGGAGCTGACTCACAAACATCATAATGTCACCATGACTGTGGACCGAAACTCTCATACCAGCCTCCGTATGCCGGGACCAGATTTGGAGCTCAGGGTCGAGGATGGGCTTTTTGTTGGTGGAGCAGCTGGACTGAACCACCCTAACCTTCTCAACATCTCCACTGGGTTTAGAGGTTGCGTAGATGAAGTTGTGTTCAATGAACATAACCTGCTGTCCAGCCTGAGACCTTATTCTGGGTACAAGAGCGTCCATGAGGTATCATTGGGCTGTAGTCCACAGTTTTCTGCAACAGATGATGACTCTGTCAGCTTTTTCAGCTCTAAAGCCTTTATCTCTCTCCCGCCATGGGAGGTGCCACAGGAGGGGGTGTTTGAATGTGAATTGCACCCCTCTGCAAGAGAAGAAGATGGCATTATTCTGTATAGCTCTGGCAACCTGGGAGGGTTTGTTGCCATAGAGATCAGAGATGGTCACCTGGTGGCAACAGTAGGAAATGGAGAGGGTATTAAGACTGAGCTGCGTTCTCTAACACATGTCCACAGCAACTACACCTGGTACCCCATGCAGCTGCACCTGTTGCCCTACAGCATCCAGCTGAAGGTGGGCGAGGAGTTGATCAAGGCTGACCTGAGCCTGGAGCTCCAGGTCATCCAGCTCAAAGGGCCTCTCTTCTTGGGAGGGTTGGACGAAGAAGCCCGTGGAGAGGCAAGGCGAGCTGGGCTGATGTCCGTTATGCCTGTGGGGCAAATCGCTGGGGGAGGAGGCTCCTTTAAAGGATGCCTCAGGGAAATTAGGGTGAACACTCAAAGAACAGGCTTACCTCATGCCACCATCACCAAGGACATCACTGTGGGCTGTAAGACAGGGCAAGCTCCAGATGCAGTGACCACCACCAGTCCAACAGATCGTCCTGCGTCTCATGTCACAACCACACAACCAATTATCAACAATAAGAAGAACCCTAACTTTTTGTTCCTGAGAAAGCTAGAAGTAGCAGAGGGAGGCCGGGCACCACTGGAGCCCAAACACATGAGGGTAGGACTGGTTGTGTTTTTACTTTTAGGTATTTGACAGGTTACTTATACATAAATATCAGTAAAAAATAGCTGAAGTGATATAGTGTAAACATTATAGCATCAATGTCAGTTCTTATTTTCACTCCTTTTTAGGTGAATCTGGATTTTCGGAAATTGGGCATTCATCCGTCCCAGTTGATGTTCCGCATAGAGGGACAGCCTGTCCATGGCCAGCTCCGGCTGGACCTAAGTCTTGACCCTGATGGGATTCGGGGCGAGGGGCAGGAGAGGACTATTACAATAGGAGCAGAAGAGGTTGACCGCACTTTCAGTATGCTGGACCTGTGGCAGGGCCGGGTGATGTACGTTCACAGTGGGTCAGAGGACCAACAGGACTTCTTCATGTTTTCAGTATTCTGCAGAAGTAAGAAGGAGGTTCCTGTGTTTCTGAAGGGCAACCGCCTGCACCGGTTTGATATCAGCATCAGTCCTGTTAATGATGCACCTGTGCTCAGCATGCCGGAGGGAAATCTTTTCACTGTGGTGGAGAACTCCAAGAGACAGGTAGGTACAGCAGAATGGCTGGATGGCATGTATATTTGTGTAAAGTATTAAATAAAAAATTAATACAACCACAATGTCCCCAGCTGACAACAGATGTGGTGAGAGTGTCAGACCCTGACAGCAGTCCTGCAGAGCTGGTGTTCAGTTCCCTGGGAAACCTCAAATCAGAGGTTGGACACCTTGAGCACCAGGATTACCCTGGCAGGTTTGTGTGGCTTGTGAGTCTTTACAGTGCCTTGCATTCTCCTTACAACCAATCCAAGTGGAGAATTGGCTTTTTGTACATATATAATGTATATATATATAAATATATAAGGACAAGGGTAGAAAAAGACGACAGGTTTCAAAGACTCACTGAAGCTGAGATTGTTATACAACCAGATGAAACAAAATATTCTATATAAAAATACACTGTGAAATGAATGCTTTTGAAACAAAAGCTAATCATAGATGGCTTCTCTCACTGCTTTTTGAATCTGCTGTTACCTAACTAGAAACTGACAAAAGAAAATCATCAATATCTTTAAATACTAGACCTGACAAAAAAACTGAATAATATAGGCAATTATGCTACATATCTGTGATTGCCAGATTTTGATATGGTCTCCACATTTAGTGTAAGCCATCTTTGTTACCTTGTTGAAACCAAGTAAGTAATGAAAATTAAATCAGATGTGATTATCATTACCCTTTTCCATTGGTCCTAAGTTGACCAGGATCTGTACCTTTGCTTAATATGCATAGCAATCCATAATGGACAGAACCAACTGTAGAAGTAGAGCTATATTTGTTTTATATATTACAGTCTACTTCATAGATAGTAGGTTACAAAATGTATATAAAACACTATTCCTCATGTATTCCTCATTTTATGGTAGTGGTAAACTTGCAATGCAAAAGAACATGTATGTTAACAGGATTGCATCTATCTTCCAGGGCCATTAACTTGTTCTCACTGAATGATCTGGAGGAGGGTAAGATCAGCTTTGTCCACACTGGGGTCCCCACCTCCAGGCTGGCACTCAGGGTCAGTGATGGGCTGAAGGTAAGTAAAGAACAAACCCAAGACACAATAAACCCATAAGATGTAATAATAAAGAATGTGAGATATAGGGTTGGGGCATTTTTAGCCATGCTAGCAGCTTTAGGGATGGCAGTGTCGGTCTGGCGGTCTGTTGGTTGGAACATTACTGAAATATCTCAATATCTATGAGTCAGATTGTCATTGAAATTTAGTACAGGCATCTATGGTGGGGGATGAATCTAGGTGACTATGATGATCCTCCCTTGTGTACACCTTTTTTCTTGTCTCATCTCCTATCCTTACCTCTGTTGTTTTCTTGTTCCCTCCTCTTTTCACAGTTGAGCAACACAGTAGTTTTGAGGATTATGGCGGTGCCACTCGAACACGAACTGGTGAATAACACCGGACTGGAGGTAAACCAAGGCGGGGCTTCCATCATCACAACCATTCACCTTGCAGTACAAGTTAATGTGGCTGATCAGGAAGTGGAAATCCACTATGATGTTACAGAGCTGCCACAGTTTGGTGAGCTCCAGCGGTTGCACTCAAGTGGCGACTGGAAACCGACCACTTCCTTCTCTCAGAAGCTTCTGGAAAAAGAACGGATCAGATATGTCAACACTTATCATGGCCTTCAGACTCAGAACAATGTCACTGATCACTTCAAATGTAAGATCAGCACCGGTTCCCTGGCTACAGAGGAGGTTGTTTTCCTCATTGTGATACGCTGGATTCACTTCAAGGTCACACGCAGTAAGATGGAGGTCAGTGGTGTTCAGAATGCTACTGTCACTCCGGAGGACCTCCATGTGATTTCTAAGGGTGTTAAACTCAATGAGAGCGACCTCTACTTCAGGCTCCTAACAGTACCAAAGAAAGGGAGGCTATTCCTCATCGACCACGTTCTACAAAGGAACTCAAGCTTCAGCCAACAGAATATCACAGATGGCTTGGTGAAGTATGAGCTGCTCAACAGGCTGCTCGATGACACCAGAGACATGTTCAGATTTCAGGTGTTTTCAGCACATGCCAACTCAGCAACTTACGACTTCAGAATTAACATCAAAGTAGAGTCGACTGCCATCACTGTTATAAACAAAGGCCTCACAATCCTGGAGGGAGGAAGTCAAGTCATCAACAAAGATATTCTGTACACTCACACAGCAAGTAACCGTGAGGTCCTCTACAACATTACGCTGAGCCCTAGGCACGGGCAGATAAGGAGGATCAACCTTTCCAACTCAACTTCCATTAACGACAACGTTGTGACTTTCACAAATCTGGATATCATCGAGGAGAGGATCATGTATATTCATGACGACAGCGAGACCAAGCAGGATTCCTTCACTTTTCAAATCATGGTTTACAAACCTCACAAACACACCAGCAAGAAGGAGGACAGAAACACAGCAGAACACACCTTTAATATCTCTGTGCAGCTCGTCAATGATCAGAGACCTGTCCGGGTTGTCGATAAAGTTTTCCATGTGGCCCGTGATGGGCAGAGGTTGGTGACATTGAATGACCTTCGTTACCGGGACGATGACTCTGACTTTGAGGACAGTTGGTTAGTCTACACGCGGAGGGGTATTCCTATGGGAGAGCTGGTGCTGGCCAGTGATACCAGTCACAAGCTGTACGAGTTCACACAGCGGGACCTCGAGCAGGTTAGCACCATTTATCTGTGAAGATTTTTGGTCATCCAGATGGTAGAATATGTAGAATCACTAAGTCAACAGTATGTTTCAGTATTCAGATGTTTCTGTGTCATGATTTCAACAACCCTTGTGTGATCCTTAATGTCAGACTGATCCAAAAATTGGTTTAAAAGTCTTGCAACTTACCAGTAAAACTGATGAAGCCTCTTGGATAAGTGAACCAGTTCGCAGGAAATCTTGCACAAGCACATCCAAAGGCAAACAATGTTTACACAAATTGTGACAAATGACCACACTGAGGTTTGGGTGCAAAAGAGATGAGACACGATAAATCGTACAAATGGGGATAAGGGTGCACACATTTCAGACAGTCTGTACTCAAAGATATTCATATGTTGCACCTGATTGTACACAGAATTTGATGAAGCAGTTGCGTGAAGAATGAAGTTCAAATCCACCTCTGCACACCTGGCCAAGTGCTGCATGCATTGCAAAAACTGTAGGACGCAGCCTGCCAGTCCCAGTGTTGAAAAAGTGTGGAGAGAGGGGGTTTCAGACGTTGTTGGATCTTCATTCAGAAATTGGTGTTATAAATGTTTTTTTTACATGCAGATGCTCTTTACTCTTCTTTCATCATCACCCTGTCTTTTCACTCCTCTCAGAAAAAGGTGCTGTTTGTCCACAGAGGAGTGAGTTTTGGGCGTTTTGTGCTATTTGTATCAGATGGGAAACATTATGTTTCAACCCTGTTGGAGGTGATTATAATATTTTCATTGTTATGTATTTTCTGATTTTATTTCTTTATTTCTTTATGTATTACAAGGTAAATACTGTTGATTCACTTCACTGTTACTGGCAAAATTTTAAATGATATCCCTTGGCCAGGTGTTATTATCCATTGAGATAACAAAAGGGAGGCAAAAAAAAAGTGCCTAAGCAAAGATTTAAAAGATCGGATAAGTTGACCAGTATGCGTAGCAGAAAATAGCAGTGTCAGAAATCCATATTGATTTTTCATGTTGTGACAGTTTGTTTCATCTTTATATTTTCATTATTTATTAGTAGTTTAAAATGTGTGTGTGATGGTTTCCTTTAACTGGTGAATTATAGCTACATATACAAATTATTTGCTGGTAATTAAATATCATAAACCATTTTAGTGTGAAAATAAGTCTTGACGTATTTGCTGACTTCTGCTGTAAATAATTAGTTTCTGTCTGCTGTGTAACTGGCTGGTGCAGGTAATGGCTCAGGATCCTTACCTTCAGGCTGAGAACAACACAGGCCTCACGGTCCAGCGAGGTGGGATCACAACCTTGACCTCTACAAACCTCAGCGTCTTCAGCAACCTTGATATCCGAGACCCACAGGAAGTGACATTTGAGGTCTTCCTGCCACCTAAACATGGTGTGCTCTGCTTTAATGATAAAGATCGTGAGGCTGTAACAAAAGCAGATGCAATTTCAATATTCACCCAACGAGATCTGATGGCAGGGCACCTGGCGTATTACCACGATGGCAGCCATGAGCTGTCAGATGGGTTCAATGTGACGGCAAGAGCAAGGGAGAAGACTACAGAGAACCGACTGGACAGAGGAAGGAGGGAGGTACATCTAGATATCGGAGTGCCGGTAAAAATCTACCTGGAAAGTCACCAGAGGCCGCCAACGATCATAAGTAACCGTCCAGTGGTGGTGGCAGAGGGACAGAACGTCTCCATAAGCAGGGACAACTTGGAGGTAATGTTGTCTGGCTCATTGTCTAGAGTACATACCTACTATATCATCTTCCGGTGTTGCTTATTAATGAGGCCTGTACTAATAAACGTGGCATATTTCCACATGATTTGCTAATATGTAGTGTTTTGTTTGAACAGGTGGTTCATGAGGACAGTCAGCCCTCAGAGATAGTTTTTACTGTCGAAGATCCTCCGACCCTGGGCTTCCTTCAGAGGTTTCCCCCCAGGGACAAGCACCGGAACAGCAATAGAGGACAGCTGCACTTCCATCAAGTACAGCCAACATTTAACCCAGCTTTTTTGTTTTAAGCTGACTAAGTGGAGCAGCTATGGGGGTCAGATCAGATCAAACCACACCACACAGTCTTGATGAAAGAAAATCAAAGTTTCTGACTGCTGAACTCCAAATAACAGTAACTAAGGAGCTCTTCTTTCCAAACTTTAACTCTCAAATATTTAATGTTTCAGAGACATACTAAAGATGTAAAACCACATTTTTAGGGGCTTTAATGAAAGTGGAGTTGCTAAAAAGAAACTAGCCCTGTAGAGCTCCAGGGAATATCAGGTTATAATTGTGGTTTTGTCACTAGAAGTCCCTCCTTTTATATTAACTGACTTTATCACAACTTTAACATACTTTGGCAGGTATGCGTGGGACCTTTTTCACATATCACCCCCCTCTTTTTGACTGATATTTTCTGTCACTCTCTGCTTTGATCAAAAATAAAAACTGGCCCCCGAAAGCTCACACAGAAACAACACCTAATGGGTTTGTCTGCTCCATTCCCCCCTGCAGGGCATCAGAGAGCAGCCAACAACCTCCTTCACTCAGGAGGACCTCAACCAGGGATTGATCATCTACCATCAGCAGGCTGCAGGAAGCACCAACGACTCTGTCCTGTTGGAAGCAACCAATGGGGTCACAAAGGTCGGACCTGTCAGGCTGGAGATTGATATCATTCCTATCCTGCTCCCTCTACAGGTACAGAATGTTTGTCTAGAAGTTTTGAGTATCAGGAGTAAAAGGAAAGAATAGCATGAAAAAAAGAGAGTTTAGAGAGTTATTTTTCCCAACCAAAGGATTGCACAAAGGAGGAATCAACTGATCAGTTAGCTAACTTCAAAGTAACCCGCCAACAAACTAGTACTATCATCTGTTGGTCTATTCTGTAGGTGTCTGACTTGACCCTTGATGAGGGGTCGTCCCTGCCGCTGACCTCTGACATCATCAAGGTCGCCAATCATCACTTCTCAGGGATGAACTTCCTGTACCAGGTCATAGTTCCACCACTACACGGACACTTGGAGCACAGCCGGATCCCGGGGATGCCCATCACTGCTTTCACTCACACTGAGGTTTGACCACCAGCACACGCACAGTCGCACACTGTTGGAAAATATTCTTTTTAAACGGGTAAATAGAAGGATTTGTGCTGTAAAGAGTCTGTAGGTGTGATCCAAATTTTTTTTTTCCCCTCTAGTGCATCTTCAGTAAAGTGATCCTTAAGACGCACTTAATCTCTTCTTGTCAGAATGTCTAAAGACAACAAAAGCTAATTTACAATGATTTTAGTCTTAATATGCTTTTGGGAAACGATACCCAGCTCTGTCAAAAGACACTCTTTGCTCTGTTTTGTTGCTGTGTTCCAGCATTTTCAACATAAGACTTATTACTCAATGACCATATTAAGTAAAAACACACCTGTGTGTGTCACGTTTACTGTTGTTTTGCTAGTAATTTCATCAGGGCCATGTTATAATCAGTCTCTACATAAATCTTTCCAGGTGGAACGTGAGTACATCTCTTATACCCATGACGGCAGCGACACACACAGAGACAACTTTACCATTGTGGCCAATCAGACAGAAATCAGGAAGCACAGTCTTCCCTGCACCGTTCACGTCAATGTCATTCCTGTCAATGATGAGACTCCTGTTATTGCAGCCAACAAGGGTCTGAAGGTGGGGAGTGGCAATATACACCCATAAGAGATGGTCCTAAGTAAATTTATTCATTTGTTTTTTTGTGAAAAAAAAACAAAAATCAAAAATAATATTGGCTGATATTTTTTTACAAAATTTTTCCAACTCTTAAATATCGATATTGTTATTGTCCTTCATATTATTTTGTTTATATTATAATTATGGTTGTTGTTCTTATTATAGTGACATGTTATTATATATAACACCTATATAATGAGCCAAGCTTGCTGTTTCCCCTGTTTCCAGTCTTTATGTTAAGCTAAGCTAACCACCTTCCTTTCCTTGTTTCCTCAGGTGTGGGTGGGTTCCGTGACAGAAATCACCTTAAATGATCTGAGTGCAGAGGACTCGGACACTCTGCCTGAGGGGCTGGAGTTCGTTGTCACACCACCCAGCAACGGGCACCTGGCCCTGAAGAGCGCCCCCTCCAGACACATCCTGAACTTTACCCAAAATCACATACAGACCGGACAACTGGTATTCGTGCACAGTGGTGAGCATATAGACCAATACTGTGGATGAGTTAGATGAGTCTAGAATAAATGAAGTAATAACGCCTCTGTTTTATTTTATGTTGACTCTCTTCATGTGTAGGTGCTTTGTCGGGAGGCTTTCACTTCCAGGTAAACGATGGTGTGAACTTTGCCCCTCGCCAGATCTTCAGCACAACTGCCCACTCTTTGGTCCTCACCCTGCAGAGAAATCACCCAATGGAGGTCTACCCAGGTAGGGTTTTACCTGGTTTGACACCCTGGATTGCACAAAATCAGCTGAAATACTGTATAGTGACTGATGGAAGGAGAGGTTAGGCAGACATTTCTCTGCTCAAGATCAGTACATGTACATGTACTACTGATGAACTCGGTGATCTATCACTTCTTAACCTAAGTATTCAGAGCTCTCTTCAGGGTCATGAGAAGATTGTTTTGTGGGACAAAATTTATTATCATGAAATGTGTTTATTTTTCCCATTTTATAAGTGTTTAATGTTGAAATTAACCTCATTCCTCCTATGATTATTAATAAAATAGAAAAATGTAATGCAGTTTTATAACAATGGCACTGGGTGGCATCACTAGCCTAAACATTAGCATCATGTTTGCACTTACACCAACCTGTAAACATACACACTTATCAGTCGTCACTCTGGTCAAGGTTACATAAGTGAAGCTGTTATTCTGATAGCCAAGTATGGAACATTTCGTACTGTAGTGGATTTTTTTTTCTTTTATATCCTTAACAAAATAGTATATTACTTGCGGCAATAAAAATACAAACATAAAATCACTTTATTCAGACATAGCTGAATTTAGTGGGCACTTAGTACCTTAGTACATCAGACACAATATCTTGCATACTGATAACTGATTTTTTTACAAAAACACAAGAGGGTGACTCATCTCAGTGCCCCCGCACATTTTAAAAATTGCTATAATTGTCACAAGCAGAAGCAGTTACATCTCAAAAGGAAGAAGAAATCATTCCTGGTGGATGACACATAAAAACATTTAAGAAAAAGATCACCAAAAAGTCCCTCACTTTCCTATTCATTCATTCATTTCACTTACTCTCAGTCTGTCTGCCCTTTTCTGACAATTTAGAATGAAAGCATGGGGATGTCTAATGATAATACATTTTAACAAGGATCATTCACTGCCTCCTTTTTGTTGTGAGCTATCTCTCACTAAATCTTTCTTATCTTTAAAGGCTCTGTGACACCAATCACTGAGCAGGAGCTTCAGGCTGTAACCAACGACGTCAGCGACATCAGAAGAAACCACTCTGTGGTGTTTGCAGTGACCACTCCTCCTAAACTCGGTCGCCTGGTCCGACGTATGCCTGATAACTCTACACAAAATATATCCATGTTCACACAAAGCATGGTAGGGATTTGTGTGTGTGTGTTGTATGTCTTTGCAGCAAAAGGAAAACAATTCTTTACTCAAATAAAATAAATCTCCCTCCTCATTTCTTTGTCTTTGTCCCTCAGGTGAATGATGGAGTTATCTTGTATGATCAGAAGAAGCCAGAGTCAGTAGGATGGTCGGCTGCAGACTCTTTCTCTTTCACTGTGTCCTCTCCCCCTGCTTTCCTTCCTCCACATACCTTCACCATCTTAATCACCTACCAGGCCAACGAACATCACGACAACTCTCAACATAAGACCAGACTACTGAACAATGCAGGTATTGTCTGACATTATGAGTGATTCTGGAAAGAATAGGTGGATAAACGCTTGTACCAGGAAGAATATAAGTTCAGGAGGACCGGTTGAGGTGTTTGTATCTGTCATTCAGGTGCCGTGGTGGCCGAGGGAGGCCGGGTGATGATTGACAGCTCTAAACTCGATGCTTCCAATCTCCTTGTGAAAGTCCCAGAGCCCCGCAGGAAAGACCACCACATCCTGTACCGTGTGATTTCACTGCCGCGCCACGGGGCTCTGTCTATACGAGGTCACAACCTCACCAGGTGCTTGGCTCAGTTCTTGGAGTCTCTATAAATGAACTGAACACTAGAATCAAAATGAGCCCAACCAAATCCAAGGCACATGTATGCATGTTATATATTCACAAGGGAAACATTAAACGGACAAAAGTCACACATTGGGCAACTAAGTGGAGAAATTCTGGACACAAACATTTGATTGGTGACATGTGTTTTGGTTTTTCAAAGAAAACCTTACAAATATTAAATAAATATTAAGTGTGGCCTTTTTTATGTTTACATCTTCTCACAGGAACCAGCCTGATTTCTCCCAGGTCACCCTAAACAAGTTCGGCATCACATACATCCATGATGACTCAGAGACAACGAGCGACAGCTTCACTTTTCGGGCCTGGGTGGCTCCTTTGGATCTCTCCTCCTCTTCCTCCTCATCTTCCTTGTCTGCTTTGTCCTCTGATTCCTCCTCCTCCTCCCCCTCCTCCTCCTCCTTTTCTCCTCTCTTTTCAGCCTCGTCATCCTCCTTTTCGTCATTGGCTGTGGTTTCTCATGGCAATGTCAAGGACAGCCTGGCAGTGACAGAGAAATTCAACATCACAGTGACACCGGTCAACGACCAGCCGCCACTCATCAGGAGCAGAGCCCCAAGTATGAAGGTCGTGGTTGGAGAGAGAGTTGTTATTGGACCAGACAATCTGCAGGTGGGCCAGTGTTAAGGGGGCAGGTGATGGTTAGTGTTGGGTCTCAGTAAAACAG